AGAATGGGATATTTCCGGACAACTTGTTTTTTCCAAAAGCTAGTTGTTGTAGCTTTTGAAGTTTACCAATGTCATAGGGAATGTTACCTGTAAATTGATTCGCTTCCATATATAAGAGCTCCAGGTTAACAAAATTCAATATACCTGTTGGAATGCCGCCAATTATATCATTGTGATCTAAAGACAATCTAATAAGCTTAGTTGAGAGATTGCCAATGGACTCAGGCAACTTCCCTCCAAAATTGTTGTCGTCCAGAAACAAGGTCTCCAAGCTGGTGGCATTGGTTAAAGAGGATAGAAAGCTCCAGTCATCGGTTTCCCCACTTCCAAGCTTATTGGAGTAAATTATAAACCGCTGAAGTTTGTGCAGCTTTTCGAGGGTAGGACCTTTTCCTGTGAGCTTGTTTGCACCAGCCATAAGGAATTCTAGATTTGTTGCATTTGAAATTGAAACAGGAATGGAACCGAAGAATTGGTTCATGGCGAAACCAAGGAATTGAAGGTTTGGGAGTATGATGCCAAAGCTCGAGGGAAGGCTCCCTTGAATTTGGTTGTTTGACACATCAATACTCGAGAGAAGAGTGATTAAAAAGTGAAGGAGGGATCTCACTAGAGAACCCATTCCCACCCGTTCCCACATCAGTAAGGTTTGACAATCTGCATAGAGCATCCGGAATGCTCCCTACTAAATTATTTATGGTTACATAAAATCCCCGAAGGGATGATAAATTCCCTAAAGTAGGAGGGACACCTCCCACTAGATTGTTATTATCAGCATAAATTACTTCAAGTTTTGACAAGGAGCCAAGCTCCGTAGGAATTTTACCTACCAGACTTTTGTGAAAAACAGAAAAGAAAATAAGGGCAGAGCAACCAGAAATATTGGCTGGAATTTCACCTTCAATAGAATTATTGTTCAGCCGCAAGTACTGTAGTCTTTTCAATCGACCAACTTCTGGAGGGATGACATGATTGAAGCTATTGTTCTGGAGATTTAGTTTCCTAAGAAAGCTCAAATTTCCTATGTATGGAGAAATAGATCCCACTAGCTTATGGGACTGCAACTCCAACATGGTTACTCTCTGGTGTCGGTGACCGCATGTAACACCATGCCACTTACAGAAGTGAACTGACTCGTTCCATGAGCTGAGCGCCTGGAGGGGATCCTTCGTTATTTTGGCCTTGAATGCGAGTAATGCAAGTGTGTCTGTTTCATTCCCTCCGAGTCTAGAAATAGCCATGGTGACAGGAAAGCCTGAATGCAGCAAGATTATGCAACATAAAATTATAACATAGATGGAAATATTGAGAACTGACCTTGACATGACTAAGCCCAATTTCAGAAGCTCCATTTTAGTTGAGAAGTTGTGATTTCTGATATCATTTTACGCAAACCACGCATTTATATATATGAATTGTGGTCAATGAAGTCAACTCTGATGGTAGAATTTTTCAAAATACAATGTAGCCAGATACCCAATGACGATTACAATAATTCATTTTCTTCACTAGAATTGACACAACTACAACCACTATCAAGCTTCAAAAATAAAACACTTAATGGCTGCTTTGGTCAAGAAAGCACTCTCTTGAAGTCTATGGTGATAACAAAAGGGTGTCTAGATTCAGCTTAATCATTTACAAAATCAGCAAATGAAGAATCACTTGCCACAAATTGGCTAATGGAACCATGGAAATTTTGAAAAGGAAGACTGAAGATCCCAAGGATAAGGAAAAACTAAAGTTCCCTGCAACAAATGAGAGCAATTGAAATACAGAAAAGGGCTAAACGAGTAATTGAAAAAACAGAAAGGGGTTTAAAAAAAATAAAAATCTACATTTTCCATATTTAATATTCTAGCACTTATTAGTCGGTTCTAACCTAACCCACTAATGCAATGACCAAGGCAGCAGTGGAAGAACTTTGTTGTCTTAACTTTTTTAATGATTTTGTTTCTTTCGGGCAAATGATGGAAAATTTATCACCATTTTTGAATAAGAGTAAAATGATTTACCAATAAGAATTTCATAAAAAGAAAATCATATTTCGAATTTTATTGCTCATTTATTAATACACAAGTAGAACAGTGGATTCACTGATCAAGTGATTACACAAGCCACAAATGAGAGGATTTGGAGGGTTGCCTTTAATGCCAACTTCGAGGTGTTTGGACTGGATGTTGCAGGAGAAGAGCTTCGTGGGAACGCCGGAAGGGAGAGTGATGTAGATGTTGATCTCATCGAGGGTTTGATCCCACTCGAAAACCTTCTGACCTGAACCAATCAACAATTACTTTTGAAATCTCAAAGTCTCAACAGATAATTGATTGTTGAAACCCTAGAATTTTAACTATTTGGGATGAATAATGGACATTGAGCCCTAAAAATGAGCCGAAAATCCATTCTAGAAAAGTCAAAATCAAAGGAAAAGGAAAAGGAAAAGAAAAAGAAAAAAGACAGTGATTGATGGGGCTACAAGGTACCGGCGCGGAAAATTATTGAATACCCGGGGCATACCAACCCTTGGGCCCACCACTACGTTCATAATTTAATGGCCTTCACTATTCTCGGGGCATTCAATAATCTCTCGTACCGGTACAAAGGAAGCTGTGACGTTTTTCGGGAGCCATTTTCTCTGCCATTTTTCTGCCATTTTCTTGGTTGTTGTTGTTGATGATGGTTTTGGTCCTTGTAGTTGAAAATCTTTGGTTTAATTAGGAACTGCAAATATGTAGAGCTTAATCCATAACTATGCCGGGTGGGCAGAGGAAACAACAACTTCGGGACTGCTTGGTTACTCAGAAAATATGAAAACAGTTCTCAACTCCGAGAACTATAAAAAGCAGTTACGTAAAAATATTTTTTTTCTTTCTGTTTTAATACTTTTATTTATTTTATTTTATTCACTATATTTTTTTAAACTTACACCGTAGTTTTCTTCGGACAGTTTCCCTATTAACCACACACAAATATTTTTGTATAATTTTTTAATATTCAATTCTTGAAAAATATATATAAAAAAAATTAATTAGAAAATTAAACTAAACCAATCCTTTGTATTTGTGGCCTCCTAAGAAGAGTGCACATACCCTGTGCATTGTATATTTTCTATTTTCTGATAATGTATTTATTAAATAACAACGATTATACTATTAATCTATTACTTAATATGCTATGCTTGGGAATGGAATTAATACTTTAAAATTAAAATTGAAGAAAAATTAATTTAAAATTTTATGCAAAATTTCTTTCACTTTCAAATTATATTTGCTACTACCAAATTCAACATTAGTAGTTATTAGGTCTGTTTGGTCTACATTTTGTTTTTTGGTGTTTTTATTTTTGTCGAGTATTACAGCAGTGAATAGTAAAAAAAAACGTGTTTAGTAAAAACTGTTTTATTTTGTACAGTGTCAAAATGTTTCGTAAATAGTGGTAAAAAATCGAAACACCAATTTAATAAATTTACATATTTTCGTACTGTAGTGTTTGGTACAATAACGATAAATAGTAATTTTTTTTTTTGAAAAACTCTTAAATGACATTTTAAAACTAATCATTATATTTTCAAACTTGCAATACTTTTTTACAAACACATGTTTTCATTTTTTGCTTCCAAAAATCATGCAACATATGGAGGTATACCAAACATATTTTTTTATTACTATTCAAAACATTCGTTTTATTTTAACCAAAAACAAAACTGAGTGTTTTGTTGCTGAATGTTTTGAATTGTAATAAAAAAAATATGTAAAACGCATACCAAATAAGTCCTTAAAGAACAACCCACTTCGAAAAGTGGATTATAATTTCAATTTTTATTATTATTTTTGTATTTTTAAATAGTTGTTGCCCATACTCAGATTTCAAATTTTGACTTATTCTTTACAAAAGGACCATGCTATCCATTATAGAGGTTCCTTAGTTAAGTGTGAATATATATTTTTGAAGTATAATTATGTCATTTCTTTTAAAATAATGTAAGTGAAAAAAAATGAAAGGCAAATATAATAATAATAATGTTTTTTTTTTTATGGACAAATAAAATTTATTGAAAGGTAGAGAACTAAATTTTTTATTTTTTTTTGCCATTAAGAAAGAAAACTATATATAGAAGATACACGTCACACAACAAAGACTAAAAGGGCCCTCAGCCCAGGAACAAGAAGAGATAGGCTAAAGCCCAGAGCTGACTAGGAGAAAGGACCAAGGCCCAAACAAAACGAGATCCCTAACAAAGAGCCCACTCGAAACAAACCATAAAAAGTTGCACATAGGAAATGAAACAAGGTCGGTCTTTATCTTTTATCCATGAAAAGTTGCTCATTGGGGCCTAAAACAAATAGTACATGAAAAGCGCACACGAATGATATCAGTATGCGTACATACATATATGTACATTAGTACATGCACGCATATGGATGATAGACATATAAGCAGCAAGCACACACAAATGTGTGTATGTAATAGTAGAAAACTGCACTTTGATAAACATTGGTTGTGCATCGGATCGGTTTTTGGGTGCACTAATATGAATTTGATTTTTTTTTTTTTTTTTTTTTTATAAAAAAAACATTAAAAATCCACTAAAATATTCTGAATAAACTCATATCACAAGAGTACGGTTTGACTGAGAAGAATTGAAAAGAAAAAGGTTGCATGGGATCATCCCTCAAATCTACCATTTTACTTCCATTCAGAGAGAATGAATCAATAATTGGATAAATTAAAAAGATAAAACATTTTCACCCTCATTTAAATGCATTAATTTAAATAATTAAGGACAAAATGGTAAAAATAATAAAATCACATCTTTTTTTTTTTTTCCTTCCGCAAAGCACATATAATTTCCTTACATTCAACAAAACAAAGAAGAGATTGACACCTTCTTTCTCCAATAATGTCTCATTTATGCTTCCTCGTTACCACCATTTTTTGGTTCTGTATGCCCAACAAATCTAACGAACTTGTAACAGTGTATAAATTCTAGTACTAGAATGGAAATGAAACAAGGAAGTCGTCCATCTTTAATTATCCATGAAAAACCACACATTGGGACCTAAAACAGATTGATACATGAAAATGAAGAAAATGAAAATGATCTTCTTATGTGTTCAGAAGAATTTCTACAAAAAAAAAATAAAAAATAATAAAAAAAAAAATAATAATAATAATAATAATAATAATAATAATAATATGGAGAAGAAGAAGAAGAAGATAATTCCATAATATCATATGAATAACTTGTGAATCCAATGCCCTCCACACGAAGAATCATCAATCTCCTGCATGTATGATAAGTAGAGGATAATTGGAGAACTGAATCCATTTTTATTAATACCTAAAATCAATTAATTATACGACAATGATATTACCTGTTGATTGGGGTGTAGTCATAGTCTGTGGTGCTTTATGTATTCCTGTCCTACAAAAAATGTCCCTCACTGTATGTAACTCAACTGCTACATCAGTAATGGTCATTCTTTCACTGGCCAATTCTGCAGAACAAGCTACTCCGAGTTCAAATATTGAAACCAAGCAACCTTGAACTTTATGGCTTTTTATGCTGCTGTGATTATTGGTACCATTTGCACTTGTGAGCTCGTCGTTTGCATTTTCTTGGAGAAGTATGGGATCCATTATCTCTTCTACTTTCTCAGGCAAAGCGGCTTTGGTAAAGTTATGAATGTTTAAACCATCTCTAAACATGTCATCGGTGGGTCTCTTCCCAATGAACATTTCCAGGAGAAGGATGCCAAAGCTATATACATCACCACTTGTAGACACCTCACTTCCTATACCATACTCTGTAATGCACATGACCATAATTGCAACGGATTTTAATATTAAAAATACATGAAAGAAAGAACTCTTCTTTATACATTCCAGGAGATCATTGGTTATATATACGTAAAACATAAATTTTGGGGTAGATAAGAACTGAAACATATTTATTGAGTTATGAAAGGAGATGCCTCTTGGCTTAAATTTTCATGCTTTTGAAAAAAATAATAATAATAATAATTAAATCCCTAGCTAGGGTAAATATCCAAGTGACTTCCAAATTTGTGTATAGCTTGGGAGAGTTAAATTTCTCTATTACATATATTTTGCATCTAAATCTGTTGCATATGGAAATCCGCAGAAAAAATAATAACAAAATAAAACTAAGTGAAACGGAAATACTATAAAGAACAAGTAACACAAGTAAGAATTGTGGAAAAGCATTTATACCTGGAGCAGTATAACCAATAGATCCCCTTACTCCAATAGAACTTGTATGATTAGTAGTATCACCAGTTGCTGTACGGAGGAATCTTGCTAACCCAAAGTCACCAACATGTGCAGTCATTTCATTGTCCAAAAGAACATTGCTTGGCTTGAGATCACAGTGAACTATTGGTATTTGACATTGATGATGAAGATAATCTAGTGCGTAAGCCACATTAATGGCAGTATTCAATCTCTGAAGAAAGTTCAACTTCTTCGGCACTTCATCAGTGAAATCTTCACTTGAATTTGGGTGCAACCACTCCTCTAGACTACCATTTTCCATGAACTCATAAACCAAGGCCTTGAAGTCATTACCTTGATGATCGACACTTGAACAAGCAGTTAGTACTTTCAGAAGATTTCGATGTCTGATGTTTCTCAATGCCTCACACTCTGCTAAGAAACTCTTAGAAGCCCCACGGTGTGCAAGGTTAAGTACCTTCACGGCAATAATGGATCCATCATGATCAAGAATTCCCTTATAAACGGACCCAAAACTACCCATGCCAATCAAATTGGCTATAGAGAACCCATCAGTAGCTTTAAGGAGACTTTGGTAAGACACTTGTAACAGTGAATTTGATTGTGAATCAGAAGAAGGAACTTTTTTTGTCCTTCTAAACCAGAAAAAATATAGAACAAATAACAGCAACATTAGTCCCACAATCCCGCAAGATATAATAATTACTAATTTTGAGGATACAACTGATCTCTTTTTTCCAGACCCTTTGGAGTTGCATAGAGGTAGCTTAAGTTCAGGTATACCACCGCAGAGCTTGCTATTTCCTGTGACTGAAATTGCACTTGCATTCTTAAAAATGCCTTCTCGTGGTACCGTGCCTTCCAAATCATTGAAAGATAGATTCAAATACTGCAAACCCTTAAACCCCTCCAAATATTCTGGAATTTTACCAGAGAAGTTGTTTTGAGATAGATCTAAACTGGAAATACCTCGCAAAGATCTCAAAGATGAGGGAATGGTCCCATTAAAAAGGTTTCCATGCAAAAGTAGGATTTCCAGTGTTACACAGCTACCAAGAGAGTCAGGAACTTGTCCGAATAACTCATTGTGAGAAACATCCAAAAAGCCTAGATTTATCAAATTTCCAACTTCCATGGAAAGAGAGCCAGTCAAATGGTTTCCAGAAAGGTCTAGAGCCATTGATAGTGATGAGAGACCAAAAATCTGTTGTGGTATTGTACCACTGAGGTTGTTTTGACTAAGATCCAATAGTAGCAATTTTTTGCATTTTCCAAGACTAGGAGGGATGTTGCCATTGAGGAGGTTTTCCCTCAACGAAAATTGGGTTAAAAAAGTTAAATTTCCAATAGAAGATGGGATATTTCCAGACAACTTGTTTTTTAGAAACCCCAGTATTTGTAGCTTTTGTAGCCTACCAATGTCGTGTGGAATGTTACCTGTAAATTGATTGGCTTCCATATACAAGGACTCCAAATTAACAAGATTCAATATCCCTATTGGAATGTCTCCTGATAAATGATTGTTTGCTAAAGCCATGACAACAACCTTAGCTGAGAGGTTGCCGATGGATTCAGGCAACTTCCCTCCAAAATTGTTTTGTTGCAGTTCCAATTTCTCTAAACTAGTGGCATTTGTCAAAGAGGCTAGAAAGTTCAAGTCACCGGCTTCCCTACTTCCAAGATTATTGTGGGAAATTAAAAGCTGCCGAAGTTTGCACAGCTTTTCCAGAGTGTGAACTTTTCCCGTGAGCTTGTTTACAGCGGTTATAATGGACACTAGATTTGTTGCATTTGAAATTGAAACAGGAATGGAACCAATGAATTGGTTAATGGCGATGCCAATGAATTCAAGATTTGGAAGTGTGTTGCCAAAGCTCGAGGGAAGACTCCCCTGAATTTGGTTGTTTGTCACGTCAATAGCAACGAGGGAAGAGTGATTGAAAAGTGGAGGAGGGATCTCACCAGACAACATATTTCCACCCATTACCATAGCAGTAATGTTTGGCAATCTGCATATAGCATCTGGAATGCTCCCAACTAAACTATTTCGGGTTGCATAAAAATACTGAAGAAACGATAAATTCCCCAAAGGAGGAGGGATACTTCCTGTCAGATTGTTATTATTAACGTAAATTCCTTTAAGTTTTGACAAATAGCCAAGCTCTGCAGGAATTTTACCTACCAAACTATTGTGTTCAACTTGAAAGGAAATGAGGGCAGAGCAACCAGATATATTGGCGGGAATCTCACCTTCAATTGAATTATTGTGCACCTGCAAGTACTGCAGTCTTTTCAAACGGCCGAGTTCTGGAGGGATGACATGGTTGAAGCTATTGTTCACCAGCCGTAGTGTATTAAGAAAGCTCAAATTTCCTATGTGTGGAGAAATAGATCCCACTAGCTTAAGCGACTGCAAGTCCAATACGGTTACCCTCTGGTGTCGGCGACTGCATGTAACGCCGTGCCACTGGCAGAAGTCAACTGATTCGTTCCATGAGCTCAATGCCCGGAGGGGATCATTGGTTATTTCGGCCTTGAATGCAAGTAATGCAAGTCTGTCTGTTTCATTCCCTCCGAGTCTAGAAGTTGCCATGGTGACAGAAAAGCCTGAATGCAACAAGATTATGCAACATACAATTATAACATAGATGGAACCATCGAAAACTGACCTTGATATGATTAAGCCCAAGTTCAGAAGCCCCATTTTAGTTAGAACTTGCGACTTTTCTGATACCACTTGCAGTTGAGAGAAGTGATTTTGGAGTGTTCATTTTAGCATAGCAGGCAGATTTATATTAAGTGTGGTCAATGAAGGCAACTCTGACGCGGACATGGGCTCAAGTTGTTGAATGTCTTGTTATTAGTCATTGTCAAGGAAAGCATCGAGCTTATTCAACCTATCACCACTTCTTAGCTGCTTCGTTTGGTAAACTCAAATGAAATTTAGAGTGCCGGTAAGGGCGGATCCAGAATTTCCTGTTGGAGTGAACTAATATTAAACATAAATTTAATAATAAAATTTCTTTAAGTAAAAAATAAATAAATAATATAGATAAATATTTGAATTCAAATATTACAAAATACTCCAATTTAGATGTCGCTTTTGGAGAGTAAGAATTTTTAATGGGATATACCTTGTCTCCCTGAAAAGTTACTAATTTGTCCTTACATTCAAGTTTGAAATTTTAAACTCCAAGGACATATATGGAAATGTGTAAAATATATTATTTGAAAAAGGAAAGTGGACAATTATTTTGGACAGACTAAAAAGGAAAGTATGACATTTTTTCTTTGGGACAGAGGGAGTATCTATCTAAGTTGTGCTCGACTCGAATTCGTCAATAATAAACTTCAAGTCAATTTTTCCAAACAAACTCCCGTTCAAGGTTGATGGTCATGCAGTCAGCAAGAAATTCATTTCCAATCCTACTACGTATTGCTATTTTAACATGTTTCATTCTTGGGTGGGAGGCTGAGGTGGGCTAATAATATATATATATATATATATATATATATATATATATATATATATATATATATATTTGGGCTGGCCTAATATTAGTATAGGGTGGGCTATAATCCACCTTTGCCCGTCATGTACATGCAGGGTCGGTGTTGGGAAAGGCTGTAACGACCCAAATGGGATACCAAAATAATAATAAAAATCTATAAAAAATTTCGGCATGACCTCCGCAGAAAATGTCTCTAAACAACCTGTTGAAATACAAAAAAAATAATTACAATGGCCTCCCTGGGCCTTAAATCTAACATATCCTGTCCCAACGCAGTATACATATATTATATCATATCTCCAAAGTGACTACATACATACAAAATCCCATTCCTCCATCTCATCCAACAAGGAACATACGTTGGTTATATCAAGTTACAGTCCAAAAAGCGTAGTTAGAATTTAAAAGTCCATGGCTTACAACATTATATTAATTAAACTAAAATTTTACGAGTTAGTTAATATTACATTTACAAAATATTAGAGAGTTTTAATACAAAAGATAGCAAAAAAAAATAAAATAGGTCTCCGTGCTCGTCTAAAATCGTGGTGGATCGTCGTCCGCCACCTCTTTTTCATGTCCTGAAAAATGTTAGAAATAATGGGGTGAGCATAAGCTCAGTAGGAAGTGTCTAAGACACACTTCTTATATCCCCGTGAATCCATACAAGGAATAGATTAAAAGTGAAAGGGATCATGCTATAAGGAAACACACACTCTCAAATACAATAACAAGTATGTAACAAATACCACCCAATCACAAGTTTACCACAATGTCATGAAGTGCAATATGCAAACGTTACTCCCCATTCTCCGAAACATTTCCGTTTCAACTTCCAAAACCGTTAGTGTAATCCGACCCAAGGTACCTCCAAGGCGTCACGAATGGAGGGTTGACTAACTATCCACGACCACAAGGCACCTCCAAGGCGTCGCATCCGGCCTAGTTAGCTCAACCATGATCCCTTTTAGACTACACTAACACCACGGACCACTAAGCGCCTCCTAGGCGTCCGGTTTTCGCAAACTCCTTTAAAAAAATATTTTCCCCAAAATAATTTCGTTTGTTCAAAAAAAATATATATATATATATATATATATATATATATATTTTTTTTTTTTCCTTTCTCTTTCCTAATGAATGCATGAATGAGCATGTTTCGATTTATCAATTCAACCATAGGCTCTCACACATTTCATTTACATCATTATCACAATTTAATAGAAATTTCTAAACAATCATTTCTTTTATTTATTTATTGACCATAGCATCATTTTCTTTCAAAGCAATAAATAAATAAAAAATACATAATCTTAGGACATACAATATGTCAACACCAAACATGCTCAATCACCGTAATAAATCTAGTCATATATATGAATTCAAATAACACATGGAACACATTTAGCATTTTAATTAAACATACTTCAACCACAAACTAGATAATCAAAATTAGCATGCATAGAATCAAATTTAAGGGGAAAAATTCACAAAAAAACTAAGAAATTGTAGATTAGAACACCCCTACCTCAATGGAAGTGAAAACTCCCAAAATTCCCAAATCCAAGCCCAAGAACCCTAGAATTTTGAACTCCCTAGAGTGCACCAAATGATGATTGGCTCCTATCAAATTGAAGGCCTTGACGAGCTTTCCAACTTTGCTTCACAATGCTCTACCAAAATCCAGAAGTTTAAAGCTAGATCAAGCTTTGAGATTGCAAAAAGAAAAAGAAGTAGTGAGATGCCGAGAGAGGAAAGATGCAGCAGAGAAAGAGAGAGAAAACAGTTGGGTCGTGGGTCATGTAATGCCTTATACACTTTTTGTGTGTTTTAAAACATGGGTGGGGCCCACTTGCTTTATTTCTTTTTCTTTTAGCATTAAATATATATCACAACATTACATTCTTCCCAACTTTAAAAGATTTCGTCCCCGAAATCAGGCCATACCTGAGGGAGAAAACAACTTTGGATACTTGGAGCGAATCTCCTGTTCGAGCTCCCAAGTAGCCTCCTCAACTCCATGATGCTTCCAAAGAACCTTTACCAACGATATCGTCTTTTCCTCAATACCTTCTGTTGTGCGTCAAGAATCTGAACTGGTCCCTCTTCGTAGGAAACATCCTCATCAATGTCCACATCAACCCAACTCAAAATATGAGACGGATCTGGCTCATACTTCCGTAGCATCGACACATGAAAGACATTATGAACCTTGTCCATCTGTGGTGGCAATGCTAGTCTGTAGGCAACCTCTCCTACGCGGTCCAAGATCTCAAAAGGTCCAATAAATCGTGGCGACAACTTGCCACTCTTCCCGAACCTCATCAACCCCTTCCTTGGAGAAACCCGAAGAAAAACATGGTCTCCCACCTCAAAGGATAGCGGTCGTCTCCGCCTATCTGCATAACTCTTCTGTCGGCTCTGAGCTGTAAGCAATCTCTGTTTGATCAGCTTAATCTTCTCGGTAGTCTCGAGTACAATGTCGGGTCCTAAGGCGGTTGTCTCGCCCACCTCAGTCCAACAGACAGGAGACCTACAAGGTCTACCATACAACGCCTCAAATGGAGCCATCTGAATACTCGCCTGTAACTATTGTTGTAGGCAAACTCAATAAGTGGAAGGTGATCCTCCCAACTATCACCCAAGTCAAGTACACAGGCTCGAAGCATATCCTCTAAGATCTGGATGGTACGCTCCGACTGGCCGTCCGTCTGTGGATGAAATGCAGTACCAAGGTGCAACGCTGAGCCAAACGCTGTTTGAAGTCCTTCCCAGAACTTCGAGGTGAACTTAGCATCCCTATCCGACACAATAGCCACTGGAACTCCGTGCAATCTCACAATCTCTTTCACATAAAGTACACCGAGTGTCTCTGCGTCATCTGTTGCCTTAATAGGCAAGAAGTGAGCCGTCTTGGTCAATCTATCGATAATAACCCATACGGCTTCATTTCCCCTCCGTGACCTAGGAAGACCTGTCACAAAATCCATTGCAATCTCCTCCCATTTCCACTGCGCTATCGGCAACGGCTGCAATAAACCAGCTGGTCTCTGGTGCTCGGCCTTCACCTGCTGACAGGTAAGGCACTTAGCTACAAACTGTGCAACATCATTCTTCATTCCATTCCACCAATACTGACGTCTCAAATTGTGATACATTTTGGGACTACCCGGATGAACTGCAAAGCGGGAAGTATGAAACTCCCGTAAGACGTCCTCACGACAAACTGTAGGAACGACTAACAAACCCCTAAACCGTAGACCTCCATCTGCATGTAAGGTCCAATCCTTCACGATCTCGCCACTGGAGATCAAAGTGTAAATGGCATCCAAATCTGAATCCTGTCTCTGTGACTCAATCACCCATCTAACAAGAGTGGGTTGAGCCACGAGACTAAACAAGAATGCTGACTCACTGCCATCATCATCATCCAAACAATACAATCCCATTTCAGCCAAATTTTCCAGCATTTTCCATTTCTGAATGGCTAAACTAGCCAAAGTCCCACGAGATTTCTGGCTTAAAGCATCAGCTACCACATTTGCCTTGCCAGGATGATACTGCAAATCAAAGTTATAGTCTTCTAAGAATTCAACCCATCGCCTCTGTCTGTTGTTCAAGTCCTTTTGGGAGAAAAGATACTTGAGACTCTTGTGGTCCAAGAACACCTCAAATCTCTCACCATACAAATAGTGTCTCCAACACTTCAAAGCAAATACAACTGCCGCTAACTCTAAGTCATGAGTAGGGTAGTTAAGCTCGTGAGTCTTCAACTGTTGAGACCCATAAGCCACTACTCTATCATCTTGCATCAGTACACAACCCAAACCATCACGTGAGGCGTCACAATAGATCACATAACCCAAGCCACGCTCAGGTATCACCAACACCGGAGTCGTAGTCAACCTTGTTTTCAATTCTTGAAATGATGACTCACAGGCCTCATTCCATGCAAACTTGATCCCTTTCCTGGTCAATCTGGTCATAGGAGCTGCCAAACGGGAAAAATCCTTCACAAATCTCCGATAATAACCCGCTAAGCCAAGGAAACTCCGGACCTCAAAGACATTCTTGGGTTGCTCCCAACTCAAAACTGCCTCTATTTTTGAAGGATCAACTGAAACCCCACCTTCCGAGACAACATGTCCCAAAAATTTCACCTCTTGTAGCCAAAACTCACACTTTTCATACTTGGCGTACAAACGGTGCTCCCGTAGAATCTGCAACACTATACC